GGTACATGATTGGTATTTAGGTATATAAAAAGAATGTCTATATGTTGAAATATGTAATGTTTTAAATATGATTGTAAATTGTTAATTTTTTTTAGACTTGAAAATGGCTCAACAAGCCGAAACATCGTAATTAGATGTGTAGTCATTAAGTTGACAAAAGTTTAAAAAATGGTGGAAAATTGACTGATAATAAATAAAGTTGAAAATATTATTATTATTTTGTAATAATCTACATAATCACCTTCGTGGCCAAATCGCTTCGGATAAGTTCGGACATAATTAATTCATAATTCACACTCAAAATTTTGAAAAAAATACAATCAAATATGAATAACGATATTTATATTAACTAATTAAATAAATGACTAATAACGAGGGCTAAATTAAAAAGAATGGCTAAAAGTTTAAGGGTATTTTTAGTAAATACTGTCAGATTTTCGCTACTCTGTTCTTTTTTCTTTTTTTTAAATTATGATCATCATAGGCTTTATGAAGATTAAAATATGGTTATTTTTTTCTCTTTGAAGATATCCAAGAAAAAATTAAACCACCGGAAATATACAGTTTTTAGAGAAAAAAAAATGGCTATGAATTATTATAAAGATAGATAGAGATAGAGAGTACATTAAAACTGACTAGAGATTTATTAAAATAAAATCAAACCAAAATAATAGAGAATTTATCTGAGATATATAAAATAAGATTAAGTAACAGCTTTGCTCTCTCAACAATTTTTTCTTCATTTTTATGACGTTTCGAGATCACATTATTATCCCATCTTTAGACTAGAAAACATTTTGGTTATTTCTAATTATATATTATCATTACAATAGTTTTAGAACTTATAAATTCTATAACAGATTTACTTATTTATGTCAATCTTACTCGTATCTCATCCATCATCTAATTTAACAAAAAAAATTGTCATAATTTTTATTTTCATAAATTATCCCTAAAATTGCAATAATTAAATGTGTTATATTATTATTTTTATGTAATTAGCAAGGTTCTGTAATGAATTTATTTACTTCGATTATATTGTGGACTCCTCTAGGGAGAGCCTAGTCAGATAGCCCTGGAGCCAAAAATCGACCTGATCGCAGGCGAAGATTTGATTGTGAATTACGAAAGAGTATGTTATCCTAAGTAAAAAGAACTTTGTCTGCCGTTCCAGAGGCGCTGCTTTAAAGAATATTAGGCCAATAATTTAAGGATCGAAACGGGAAATCCATTGCGAAAAATGTGAGATAAGTTTCTATTTTTTTAACTTTTATATATGGGTTTAGACATGTAAAAAACAAAATTGCTAAAGCCGGCCACATTCATATTTTTTCGATATTTTTTGGGTTTTTCATCTATAACTCCTCAACGATGCAACAAAGCGAAAAATGTATTCTTTAATAAATTAAAGAACGTTAAATTTTGCGTCAAACGAGTACATAAACTTTAAAATTTGGTTACGCGGTATGGTGTAAAACCACGGTCGACCAACGCTGACTTTTACCAAATTTGCCAAAAACTGAGACAAATTACTCTATAAATGGCCCTGTAACTTGGAAATGAGTTCCCTAAGAGGAAAAACCCATAGAATCAAAGTTGTAGAGCATCAAATTTTGCGTATACTCAGTATCAACTAATTTAATGTTGGTCACTTGCTGCGAACAAAATGGGTAATCTCCCGATGGTTAGAAATTGGTAATGAAGGTAAACGTGATTTTCAATATTTCAACAGTATGGGTGTCTATTCTACTGAGTTAGTTTTGTTTAAAGTCGGTTACATGCAATATAAGCCTCTTTTCCCCCTCTTAACATTTTTCGCAATGGATTTCCCGTTTCGATCCTCAAATTATTGGCCTAATATTCTTTAAATCAGCCGCCATTTTTTAAAGCTGCGGCTCTGGAATGGCAGACAAGGTTCTTTTTACTCAGGATAACATACTCTTTCGTAATTCACAATCAAATCTTCGCCTGCGATCAGGCCGATTTTTGGGTCCTGGCTCCAGAGCTAGACACTGTACCAAACCTAGAACCAAGGGTCAAAATCCAAGAAGCCTTATTTATTTGTATATATTTAATTTGTTTATTGTATAACCTTACTGGCTCCCTATTTTAGCTGCATCTGTTTTATAATTTATTGCTTTATTAATATGTTTAATGATGAATATAGATTCTATTATTTTTTTCTGTTATGGACAAATAATAGAGAATATTATCAATGTTATATTTTGTTATTAATATCATAATTAATACAAGATTTTAATGAAAATGCTATATAAAACAATTTACATTGATCAAACTTCAAGATAAAAGTCTAATTAATCTCGAATTCATTAAAAACATCTCAAATGTATTAAAGATTTATGGCAAACTTCCGAATCGGTTCGGATAAGTCGATAAAATGATTATCAAATAGCCACCAGTGACTACAAATCACTGTCGCTATCTCCTAATAAAGTAGATTCCCCTGCCAAGAGGCTCAGATAAAGGGGAGGATGCCATCAGAGGAGTGGACGACGCCCTGGTTGTGTCAACCGGACCTGAGTTAGATGGTCAGGTGCCGGCAACTCGGCCAGCGTTCCCACGGCAACTCGTTATAGTCTGCTAAACTGCTCCAGGGTAGTGTTTAGGGACTTTACAGGTAGCTGCGCCATAGCTGTTTTTGCTCGACTACAGTGGGTGGTTTTGAGGTCGATAGTTTACGTCCAAAATATAACAACGTTATTAACCTTCTCAGCAGTATGAATGGTAAGAAAGATTCATACATTTCGACGATGATTGTTGTTGCTATTATATTATTGTTATGATTATTTAATTACTGTAAATATGGTATAAATTTTATTACTGAAGGAAGTTAGTCGACTGTTCTACATATCATGGGTGATAAATATTCAGGACGCATTATTTTTTTTTAATTTAATTTTTTATTTATGCAAACGTTTCAACCCAAACATGTGGGTCATCTTCAGGGCGTGGTTTGAGCACTGAGGGTGTTCAAGTACTTGCCATAATATACAGAGGACAATATTCCAGATTATCCTACCAATTCTCTATAATTTGATATATTTGAGATAAAAAAATATAATATTCTGTGGTATTAATATAATTTCAGCTAGTATAAATTCTTTAAAATATTTTTTTTTTGTATTTTATTCATTTTAAATCATTTATCATACTGCCTCCATTTTATATTATAAATGGATGTGATCCCTTAATAATTTATTGAAATCTTGTTTCGTTAATTTCTTTTCTTTTTTTTTTGTGTGTGTTACTTGACTGAGTCTCTTTAAAATTGAATGAGATGTTTTTAATGAGTATGTTTTGATACATTGACATTTGACATTCTCTACATTTTTCTCATAAACTTTTTCCCCTTTTCACGTAGGACGTTGAATTTCTTAAATTTCGTTTGGAACATTTATTCTCCTTGATTTCATTACGTTCATTTATTTCCTTAGCACAATTAAAAATAAAATTTTTATAAAAACTAGTTTCTTCTTCCATCTTTGAAGAAGTAATAAAAAACTTTTATATTCACTATTTGAATCTGAATGAAGAGAGGGAACTACGAGTATTCATACGCAATTTGTTGGCAAGTAGATTTAGAAATACATTCACACAATACAATAATGTATTTCGCATAGTAATATATTACCATCAAAAGATAAATAATAGGAACACACTCAGTGATCAAACCACGCCCTGAAGATGACCCGCATGTTTGGGTTGAAACGTCTGCATACATAAAATATTAAAATGTTTTTTAAAAAAAAACGACTGCGTCCTGGATATCTATCACCCATTATAAATTTTATTGTTAGTTTTTACTAGGTTAGCCTGCTGTTTAAGTTTTAACATCAGCTTATTTGTCTTCTTTCCAGGTTTTGCCTTCTTTAGATATTTTTCCTTCACTTTATAATTATAATTATCCTTGTGAAAATTTTATTTTTATTTGTTTACTATTTACAGACTATTTCTTAAATTGCTGAATATACTGATAGAATTTTTATTGAGTTAACCTATTGTTAATATTTTAACATCAAAAATCAACATATTATTCTTTTCTTACTTTAGTTATTTTTTTTTTAAATCATGCATAACGACCTTAATGTTCCTTACGTTTCAGATCTGGTTAAATCCAGATATCTATCCTTCCATAATAAACTTCAGAACCATTCTAATTCTCTCGTTTTTAACCTTGCTTCCTACTCGATACAAAGTTTTGTCGATAACAGCTAAGTAGTTAAGAAAACAAGAGGCCCATACACATACGGTATGTTGAGATGTGGGGTCGATCGAAAAGATGACATGTTTTTTAAATCCCTTCTTTGGTCTCCGGCATTGAAATTTATTTAATTAAGCTAAAAAAATATAGACCATACTTTTCCTATTTTAAACTTTAGTAAAGAGGTATTTAAAATTTCTAAACTTCTATTTCAAGAAAAAAAAAAAAATAATAAAGCATCATAATAATGTTCCATTCCTTTATAATATGACGATTTCAACACACAATGTCATCCTTTAAAAATCCTTAATGTGAACTAAATTGATTTTAAATTCCTTAGCCATCTCCATACACAACATCTCACGGTTCAATTTCATTTAAATATCAATTATTTTTCCATCCACTCAGCTATGAATCTTAAATATTTTTGTCATGATTTAGTGTTGTCAGCCTTATTTTATTGGTATTTAACACTTATTATTTAGATTGTTTATCAGTGCAAATATGAAATCAGTCTTAACATTTACTTATCCATAATTTGATTATTTTTATTTGACTACTAATGCTTGTCTTTTATTTTAATTTTAGCGTAATTTTATTTTAATTTATAACATTGAAATTTAATTATTTCTCGACTGCTATTTTGTGCCAGATAGATATATTATTGTTCATTTTCATTATTCTCAAATTAGTATAAACAATAGTTCTAAAAAAAAAATACATTTAAAGTTTAACGCACCGCATTAACGAACGCACAAAAAAAAAAAAAAAAAAAATGTTAAAAGCGAAAACGAGGTGACAAATCAATGTCAACTATATGAGACCCAGAGGCTGCCAGGACCACACGTGTTGGTGCTAAATCATCCAGGGAGGAATTTGCGAAGGTTCGACGTTTGGGAGAGCAGGCTCTTACTGCAAGCCTGAAGTTCAGAAACATAACAGACTTTATCAAACTCCAAACTCTTAGATGGAAGAGAAAAAGTTTAGTCATAGAAACAAAATTACATTATGAATCGTTAGTTCTGCTATCTCTTCGATCTCATTTTTCAATCGATTAGATGATTAATCGAACGACCTTCAAAGCTCTCCGAATCTTCGATGATATCTACTAATAAAGTTGATATATCAAGAAACCGACAGAGTTTCCAATACAACAAACATTCTTTAATTTTATCTTGCCTTTGACGCAGTACGAAGCACTTTATGTTGCCAAGTAATACATAGCTGAGCATGAATCATGCCTATGATGTAGAAACATAATGGAGATTTGTTTAATACCTATTTCAACTCTAACAATGTACAGCTATTATTTATCATAGCGATACATTTCTGTTACAAGGCGAACCTTTCATTTCTAATAATACATTCACTTGTACCAGCAATTTATTTATAGTCCCGCTAGTTTACGTTTTTTTATAATATAGGTTAATTGTTTTCGCGTTATGTAATGTATTCTTTGTCGTTTGTGATCACGTAGCAAATAGACAGTAATCTGAAATTCTTTAGCCTTTTACAACGTGGTCAGTTCCGTAGCCAGGTCTGGAAAAAATATTTAAAGTATTAAGATGCATTTAATTTTCTTGGGTGTGTTACTTATTCGGTTGTCTTCGGATATTCCGAGTGTTCCGTAAGTAAAGGGGAAGTATTTAAAAAGGAAGTATTTTATGTTCCCATACAAAACAGAAAATTTCAAACAAATTTAAGAAATGAAACATGAAACCATTCAATAAAAAACTATTTTCATGAAAATGTAAATATTAGGATTAGGATGAGTTAGTTGATCACTTAAATATGAACAAAATCGATAATAGAGAAATTTAAAAAAAATTGATGGTTTTCATCATCATTAAAAATATTTTTCTAGTCTACTATTCAGTTAGAGTAATAGTTTGATTAAAATTATCAGTTATTTTGTTTTTTCTTATTCTTTTCACATCCAAAAATACTAAAGCCTTTTTATTCTCCTCATTTTGTCAAAACCACTTTTCCGATAAATATATAAACCACATATAACGTAGAAATTCAACAAACTTATGCAAACATTTTTATAATAACCACCATTATGTAAATATGTTTTGGGCAAAATTTATTTTATTACAGAAAAACTTCATTAAAAAAATAAAAAAAATTCACTGATTTTCGCTCACATTTTTATTTTATCCTTTATAGTCTGTAGCTGAATGTTCCACTAACACATTAAGGCCTCCTATTTTGAGTTTTATTTTGTTTACTTGATTTAAGAAAAAACATTATCAATTTATTTTTTTTAAATAATCTTAATAATTTTGGCTTATGTTTCCAAAATATGATTTGAAATTTACTGCATTTTTCCAATATTCTGTAATTCTTATTGCTTCCAGAATTTTTCTTCTGAATACATTTTTTTTTCTGTGTTAATAATTTCTAAATCTTCAAATTGATTAGTAAACTATAAAAATATTTTTTAAATAAGCATTGTTCTTTTTGAATTTTTGAAAATGGCTTTTACGTTCGAAACGTTTAAATAAATAGAAAATAAAAACTATGGGATTAAAAGAATTATTTTTTTTTTATAAACCTTAATCATGCCGTCGGTTTATTGCAAAAAGTCATTAAGTAACATTTTAATAAATTTGAAGTTTCTGATTCATTAAAAAAAAAATAATGAAATTGCAATTTGATCATTTTTTTTTTATTTGCAATTCTAAATATGTATTCTATTTGCGAAAATTAATTAAAATACTTAACATATACGTAACAATGAATAAAAATGAAAAACTAAAACCACGACGCACATAGTGAAATTTTGCACAATATAATAATTAAACAAAACACTTTCTTTTATAATACTGCAACTACATAAGATGTGAGTGAGACTTACTTCACTTAATTAGTTTTATTAATAATCAGATCAATTAATCCTTTGAAACAATTCAAGTACCAGATAGTGAATTTTGGCGTTCTACTTTAACTTTACTTACAATTAGAAAACAAGAATTTCAATTAGTAACTTGATGACTTTTTGTTTTGTAAATTCGGAACATCGTGCACTTAGTGAAACTATTTTTTACATATAAAAGGACTTGTATAATTTTTATGCAGTTAATGAGCTACTATATCGATAAATATGATCGAAATTAACAACTACGAGCCTTTATGTTAAAATCGACCAAAATAGTGATATTTGCAAAAACCTGACGATGTATTGATTAAACTTTTTTTTTTTTAAATTTAATAAGTTCTTTTTTAAAACCATTGTAAATTTTATATGCAAGCGATTGAAAATTTAAAAAGAGAAAATCTCTGTGATGTACTCATTAACTCATCAATTGTTAATACGCTGCTACGGTACGATAGCAAATTGAAACAATACTGATGAGTGGGAGTTGGCATGGCAGCCCATTGTTGCCGGCGGTAAAACAAACAAGAAGGCCCCTGAAGACGTTGAAGACACTCCTGTCCTGGAATGGCTGATTAGTCTCAGTATTGTGTCCAGGTCACGTCCTAGCTTGGTTCTCACACCGCCTCCGCTAGTTCCTGCATAGCTGTCATTATCCGTCCCCTGTTGGTTTAGCAGGTGTAACAGCATGGCACCGGTTCGAGAAGCACTAGGCGTTGTGATAGATTTCTCTCAGGAAAAAGTTGAAAACTTATAATTTACTACCGATAAATAAATACCATCATTTTTTTTCTTTATATAACTCAAATCTAAACGACCATAGTAAATTTATAAGTAAATAACTTTTTGCAGAGAATTTACCAAGAGTTTTTTGGCTTGTTATTTTTTTTAACAATTGACAATGTTACAGAAATGATAAATTCGGTTTCCAATTTTTTTGTTAATGTGTGATTAATTAATTTTCTGCTTTAATTTCATATTGTTTGATATGCATCTCAATTTAAATTTTGTAAAAATAAGATAAATATTTTTATAAATTTAGGTCTCCTATGCAGCAAAACCGTTTTTTTTTTTTTTTTTTATGAAGAAATCATTTCATTTATCATGACTGTCTTCACATTTATATACTTGTCTATGCAGGAAGTCCCCTAGGTAAAGAGAAATATTTAAATGGATTATAGTAGACCCAAAGAGCTACAAATTTTAAATAAACCATAGTCCGATTTCCTGCAAAATTTTTAAAACAGTAAGATTTTCTTTTTTAAGGAAAGATTCGGGAACTATACAAAGTCAATTCAAGTTAATAATTGCATTATTAAAAACTTATAGTTATTTTAAAATTAGAAGAACTTGTATCTTAAAAACAACTAAATTATTTTATTTTTTTCTTCCACAGTAACTCAATGGGAGAGCGTGTATTTTTAAATTTTTACAGATTCCAAGCCATTCGGAATACTAGCTATATGAAATGTTTTTAGGTTTAAAGTAATAATTAACAATAAATAAAGAAATATTCTTATAATAATATAATAGTCATTCTTATAATAATATAAAAAGAAATAAATAAATTGAAATAAAATTGTTTTAAAAAACTAGAAAAAATATATAAAGAAAGAGAGAAGTGGTATTTTTTTTTTTTTTAAGATATGCATGGAGCATCTGTGCTCCGGAGGTAAAGAATTCCATACCCATTTTTTTTAATTAAATAATTAAGTACAATTATTATTTTTTAGCCACAAATACAAAAATGATGATCTTTATTTTCGGGGTTCAAATTTAGTAACTTTTTTTTGTTTTTTCATTCCTTACCTTTTAGGCTATACGGGTTTCATCCTGGTCCGAGGGATAAGGGACTCTAGGGGGGTTAATACTAGAGTCAAAAGCCCCCCAGGCACCGGATCGCGAACTCGTAACTTCGGTTATCAGATTGCAAGGAACGCGCGGAGGCTGTGCACACACGTTAGCCCGCTTGGTTTATATAACCCTCTCCTAAACACATATTTAGTAACTAAGAAACAAATTTTAATAGCTCGAAGTTGAAGAAATCAGGAAATAACGAAGTTGGCTTTTCTGAACAAATAAAAATAAGTGAAATGGAGTTCTATACCTTCTCGTATAGATATTAAAGTGAGAATAGAATATAATATTTAGAGAATAAATCCAAGAATATTTAATTTTCTTGATCTACAAAATAACTATTGTACACAGAAAATCTACAGACGCTACTGATATATATTAAATATAATAATTAAATTTGTATATACGTTTTCTAGAAATAGAACTTTCATAAAGTCATAATAAATAATTAGAAAACTTACTATCAATTAAAACAAAAATTAAATAAGAAAAATACGTCTGGAACCATATAAGACGAGAAACTTCAGCAAGGATGATTGCAAGTAGTTGCATATGTATATAATCGGGAACTTTCTCTGCCCCTATCGAGAGGAGGTATAATAGGAGAGCTGTGAAAGCAGAAAAAAACCCTGGCTGGAAAATAGAATAAAATTGAAAAAACAAAATGCGAAGAAAAAAACGAAGACTTAACAGTTAGACATAGATTGAAAGGAAAGCCTATCTAAGAATGGTAAAAGCAAGGACACTGAGAAAGGGTTGTAGACATAGACGAGTCCACACGTTCTCTGCGCCAATCCATAAGTCATGCCTTATCGGCGAATCATATCTAATATAATATTACCATAGATACTACAAACTTATATTCGTAAGTAAGAACCTTATTTTGATTATTCAATTTGAATGGAATCTTTATTTAATTTTTAAATTTAATCTTTTATAGATTTAGGTTTTAAAATGCCAATAATATTTACATATTTACGTTTCACAAATTAAAAATATTGTTAACAAAAACAAATTATTTTATTATTGCCCATTTTCAAATATTCTAAATTAAAAACAATCACTACTTTACGTTATATACACTTACGATATACCTATTGACGATGAGATCTTGACAGCTACATATGCAGACGATACAACAATCCTCACAAAACATCAAGACCCTACACAGGCCTCACTAACTCTACAACATCATTTGCTTTAACTACAAGATTGGTTCACACTATGGAAAATTCGACTTAATCATGACAAATCCATACATATAACATTTACCCTTCGAAAAAACACCTGTCCTCCAGTTTATATTGACAACAATCAAATTCCTCAAACGGACACGGTACTTTACCTTGGACTCACCTTCGACAGAAGGATGACATGGGGCCCACATGTTAAAATGAAACGTATGACACTTAACAAACGACTCAAACTACTTTACTCTCTTTTTGCCAAATCTTCAAAACTAAAACTAAAACAGAAACTGAATACATATACATACTTACTTAAGCCCATATGGACATACTCATCACAAATATACGGCATCGCTAAAAAGACCCACCTACAAAAACTTCAAACGTTCCAATCAAAATTATTGCGACTCATAACAAAAGTACCTTGGTACGTGACTAACAAAACTCTACATACTGACCTCCACTTTCCAACAGTTGACCAACATATAACGACCCTATATCAACGATTTTACACAAATTTAAATGGACATAATAACAGATTTATAAGAGACATGGCCACAGCTGACATACCTCAGAACATGAGCAGGAGACTAAAAAGGCGTTGGATGAGGGATCTCCTTCCTTAGTCAACCTAAGTAATTGGAACAAGTTAGGGAAGAGGTATGGTACTGCTGAGTACTTTCCTTCCCCATGCCTGTCATGTCATTATATCATTATCGTCATCACATTTGCTGATTGTCAACTTATTGTTGACAGGCGCAAATGCATATTTTATAGACAAAAAAAAACAATCAAAAACATCTTTAATGACTATTTACTAGCAATAAAAATTAACGATAATAATTTATTAAAAAAGTTATATACTATTTCTAGTTGCTTTTTATATATTTACATGTTAAATAAAATCGACGTCATAATACAATATAAGAAAAAATTGAATTGATGGGAGAATTTTAAACTGGTACAATCATTTCAGTTTTAATGAATTTTGTTATTTATGTAAGTAATATTCCTTCTAATTATTTATACCCACATATAAAATTGTATGAGTTGCGGTTACGTCTTTGTGAAATGGAGGTCAGATTCGCGATATATCAAAGTGTATTTATATACTTTAATTAATATTATTAATTAATTAATTTAACATACTATATTTATATAAAAAAACAAAAAGATAAAGCATTAAAAAATAGATTGTTTTTTTTATCTACGATCACGGTATGTTTTCAACTGTTTAAAGAAAACTTACAACACAAGAGCGTAAACGATATTATTTACAATATTATAAGTTCCTATAAAATGATGCTCACCGCAACCTCGAGCTTGAGGTAAAAAAGTCTTTCAAATACACTACAATATGTTTGAAAGTGTGTCCCCGCGTTCCATCTATAATGTATATATTAGAAAGGATGATGTCGGTTATTTTTTTTAATTTGATGGTTGTTTCTGAAATTATGTGTTAAAAAAATATCTAAGTATACATATGAGTAGCATAAGTACACGAAGTAGTATTTAAAATATATAATGTACATAATGATTTATAAAAAATTAACAGTTATTTTTTATGTCTATTTGGATCACTGTTTCTTCTTTCACTTTCCCTGTTATACCTACGTAATTGTTTATTTTTTTTCTCAGAAGGGGGTCTAACACGCAACATTCTATTGTTTATGTAAATCTTCATCCAGTTTCTTTTAAAATTGTTGAAAAAAAAAATAATGAGCATCCAATCATAAAATTGTCTAGGGAAGGTATAATTTCTTCCGTGACAAGATAATTTTGAATATAACTGTCACGAACAAGGGTTCACACGTAATATCAACTGACTTCATGGTAAAAAGATAAGTAAACATTCAGTTATAGCTCGCCTACAATTATCATAACAGTCTGATGGCGCACTAAGTTGAACATTTTGTATTTTCTTTTAGCTTCTGATCTTATCTAGGCACGTAACTTACATTAGAAGAGTGCTATGTTATCTTATAATATATGGGTATACTTCTTTGCTATTATTTTATCAATGATATCGGAGATAAGAATAAAAAAAATAAAAAATTAGTTCGTCTTAGGGCCATATTTCTGAGGTTGAGTTACAATTTCTGTGAATAATACATCATAATCAATTTTAATCGAGAAGATAATAGCTTATATTTTTTCACATTGAGGTGAAATCTATTGAAAACTAATCAATTGTTTCTAATAGCCCAAAATACATCTTTAATTTTCTCTCGCAATTTTATCTCAAAAAAAAATTATTATTCATTCGACAGTCCATCAAATAAATTACCTAAGATAAAATACTTCATCATACGAGTAACATTAATTAGAAATTTTCATCACACTAATATCTTTTAATCTGTGGATCTAGTGTCCTCCTTCAATCTCCACTGGCTTATCAGTGACGCGGCTGGAAGGGAGGCACTGGAATCTCCTGGAGTCTCTCGCTTTACCTTGCACTTTTGGAGGAAAAAGCTTGGCTCGGAGTACCCTGGGCGAATGAAAATATAGGAGTGAATGTTTTAAGAATTTATTTATTTATTTTATTGTTACTTATTGATTTATTTCTTATTTCGCTCATGTATTATTTATGTACGTTATTCTATTTTATATTTACTTCTTCTTAGTTTACTCATTTATTTTTATTTA